GAATACATCCACCCTAGCCTGTGACCCTGCGAAGTGACAAGATCAAAGATGCCTATTTATTGCCGTTCGTTAAGTAGAATGTATGTGATTTGAATTTAATTAGATTTTAATTCAATATTTTTGTTTTTATTTTTTGTAAAATAGGCCATATGCATAGTGCTACTTTGTTCACATTTTACACCCTATTTTTTCTAGATGGTAAAAATGGTCATCCGGTATATCATAAGTGAGGTAGGTGATTACGGTTCGCGAATATTGTGGGTGACAAAGCTTGAGTTACGCGTAACGCAGGCGATTCAAATGACTAATCAACAATTTAATATGGTAGCATAGTATTACGAATACACAAATAAATAGAAGAAAAGAATCAACTACAGTATGTAAATACATAATGAATCAGACGAAAAAGCCAAAAAAGAGTTCCAAAGCTAATTTTACGGGAGTCAACGACGGGAAACTTGCTATTTAGTAAAACTCACACACACCTTGAAAAAGTGACTGTCGCGAAAGAATTAAATCACAAATATTAAAATGTTGTCAACACGAAATTCTTCATAATTTTGTGTGATTTCAAATGTTCCTTTTCAATGTTAACTGTCCGTAGTTGCCGTGTAAGAATATTCCTTACCCCATATTGTCCCGTGGGTGTCGAAGGGAAACTGAAACTGTGGGTTTAGAGGTAAACTGAAACAGGAAATGGGCAGCAGCATCTTCGTGATAACAATCTAAAACAATAAAAATCTGCGGTTGCCAACCCACCTGCCAAGCGTGGCATCTATGGCAAAATCCGTATAAGGCAATCAATGGGTGAGATATTATACTATGTTCACCAGTGGACTTTTACCCTTAAAGGAAGAAGGAAGGAAAGGTTAAGTATACGTCAAGGCAAAAATGCGTTTATTTTTAAGCTATTGCATAGCTTTTTTGTACCTATGATATCTGCATGCAGTTGAAAGTAAAAGATTGCTTTAATATGAATAACTGTTGAATTTCGACCACTAGGCGAATACTAGTATACAAGTATAAATCGTCTCAGCACAACAAAAAAGATAGCAGTGCTCCGTCTTAATTTATTTTCTGACCTGAGGTTATAACCACGGACTAATCATTTGATATATTTGGATATGGATACAGGCGCTCCTAAGGTAGCCCCCTGTTGTTATAAACGACCCTATCGACTAACTTTGAGACCCGAGAAAAGTAATAATCGCCCTTTTACTGCTGTTACGGAAGAAAACGTAGATAAAGATAAAGATAAAGATATTTTATTTTGCAAATATGGGTACAGTACATGGAAAATTAGGAAGTGAGTTCAGCCATATTTTACCAGTAGGCATGCAAAATATACAGAAATATAAACTAATCACCAAAACAGCTATAACAAAATACAATAATAACACAAAAACAAACATAATTCAAATTTTTAACATTATACAGTCTTAATCTCAAAATAATTTTTTTTCAGTCATGAATTCTGTTACGCTATAGTATGCTTTGCCTGTCAAGAAGCTACGAAGCCTTTTTTTAAATATCGATAGCGGCAATTCTTTCCAACTTTTTGGTATTTTATCATATATGACTGGAGCCATGCAGTATATATATACTTATGCGCATTAGTGCTGTCTTAGCGGATTGATGACACAAAAGGGTATTGTCGCGTCTATTACGTGGAACTACTTGGTCAAGGCGTTTAAAACGTTTTGGATTCAATTTAACAAACACTGCTACTTCTAGTATGTATAAACAAGGTAATGTCAGTATTTTATACTGTTTAAAATATGGCTTGCAACTATCGGTAGTTATAAGCTTAAACATCGCCCTTATGCATCTTTTTTGAGCCTTAAACGCTGATTCTTTTTCGGTTTTTGCGCAAAACGTGCTAGTAGTAAATGAAATAATTGAAGAGGGTAGGCGGATAATAACTTATGAAGAGATTCAGCACATATTTCTTTATATATCAAATAGCGCTGACGAGATTTTACACGAACCTTCGCATGAATAGCATAGTTTCGCTTTGGGTGCCGCATAATCTCTAAAATGCTTAAAAGTAGGCCTGCAAGGAATAGGGCCGTCATATGATTACTAAATTTGAAGAAGGCTTGTCCCGATGTATTTACGACATAATTAGAGGTGATAAATTTTGACTTTTCTATACGATACAAAAACGAAACGCTAGTCAACGGATTGGTTGTATTGTCAAGTTTGATACAAACTACGATCGATATATTCAATTTCACCGATAAAAGAGTTGGGATCTGAGCTGATACCAAGCTCAATTGCTGTTCCTTAAATCATAGCTATAAGAATGTACAACTCTCTACAGCTGAAATAAAAACAAACCGTTATGTTCTTCTTTATGGAATTTATAACTTGGTATGTTTTAATAGTCAATAAAATGATTCCAGTGCAAGGAAAGTGCGTTTAGAAGTATCCAAATTAGTGACACAAATGGCCGCATCTTTAATTACAATTACTTAAAAGCTTGAATTTAATACACCTAAAAGGAACTGTAACTGTAACCTTACTATATTTATAATAATTTCAAGATAATTCCACTAGCAGTTCATGAGAAAAAAGCCATTTTCCATTGATATTTTGCATTAAATGAAATGTTCTGCTAGCTGGACTGCATGGGAACGTCTCAAATCTCTTTTATTTTATAAGTATATATTTTCGAAGTAATAATTATAAAAAGATTTAATTAATATGACAAAAAGCCTTATGAAAATATAATTATCATGCCACCAATAAAGATGTCACTGATCGTCTGCTAATTAATCATAAGTGATTAAAATAACATTCACAATGACATTATCTGTATATTAAAGAACAACCTTCCGAGATAAAACAAATTGCTACCAACGTTAAAGTTATCAAGACATTAACAGAAAGTGTTTATTTAAGACAAATCATTTTTAAATACAGCTCCATAATTGCTACATCAAATGCGTAGGAATAATACATATTATAGGTACATATACAATATATTTCCTGTTTTTAAATTTTGGTAATTGTTTTCTCAATATAATTTTATTCAAGACTACTTCACCAATACTTGGCAGCTGATCAAAGGCTACTTTCGCAATCATAAAGTTTTCTTCCTATACTTAAAAAGTGATAATATTTCGGCATTATAGAATGAATATTTTCGCCATTGCTAGTCGCCTCGTTCGTTACTTATCAGATTGCACCACATGCATATGATTTCACGTTTAAGGAAGCACTTGTAAAGTCACAATCGTGATTAATTCATAATTGTTAAAATACATTGAGCAATTTTGTAGTTCAGCATTTAGGTTTTTTATAGGATAAGAATGTACAACTTGTACAAAATGTACAAAACGAGCACACAACCCACTTGATGGTAAATGGTTGCTGTGGCCCATAGACATCTACATCTATCTTTGATTATGAATCAAAATGCAGATGCGTTGTCACCCATGAGGAATAATATGAAAATGACACGTTTCCAAAAAAAAATGGTCTCCGGTTCTCTACACTCACCATAAGTAACACAGCAGCGTTAAGCTGCTATTTCACGCTGGTATTCTGCGAGAGCGTGGTCCTTCCCCAGTCGAGCCGACCCATTCGTGCTGCTACTACACTACTAATATAGCTGCAGCATGGCCCTACCACGGTTTATTTTAGAAAACATATAATTAAAAGACACCTATATGTACATTAAAATTATTATCCTTTTCCTAAAACAAATCAACCATTGATCAGACTTCCACTTTATGTATTGATAATTACGTGGACAATAAGCATGGCCTAGAAAATACCAGATAAATTAGGCAAGTAAGCAATATCAATCCAGCACGCTACGTACCAGAAACTGCGATGGTAAAGATTTTGTAAGTACATAATATGTATCTCGTACCGATAAGCGAGCTGTAGGGCGGCCACCCACTAGGTGGAGGGACGATGTGGTAAGAGATGCAGAAAGTCGATGGATGTAGGTGGCTCAGGAGCATGCTTTGTACCTTTCTCTGAGAGAGGTGGCTTGTGAAAGGCTATAATGACGATAGTAAAGAAGATATTAATATCAAGCATTCCAATTTAGAATGGAAAGATTAAAATGATTCTATCTTTTGGTTCATATACTATGGGTGCTTAAGAAAACAATGAATAGGTTTTTTCTAAGCCGGTACGATTACCATCCAAGACTGCTTCACCACTTACCATGTGGATTCGTAGAAAAGCACTCGATTAGAATTTTTCAACAAATACTTCATATCAATATCAATAAACAACAATTAACAACGCTGAAGGTACTCCGGGTTTAACAATGATATCGGGACGTCAGTCATGTCAGTCCCCCGTGACCATGGGTGCTGGAAAGCACCCGAAACGTCGGGAATTAAAAATAAAATAAATAAACGCGATAAAATCCGTAAAAGTAGTAGTCCATGTGTAGTGTTCGCGTAAATATAAGAAATTATTGCATAATATTAAGTTTGGCTTCTCAGCATATTTACAAATGTATGTACACAAAAAGTAAAATATTTTTATTAAAAACTAGCCTTCCGCCCCAGATTCGACTATAATGTGCATTTGAGTGATTATAACTATATTATTATAACTATATATAATATAGTTATAATCACTCAAACGGCTCTCACTCTCGGCTCAAAAATTTCATCAAAAAATTATTTATTTATTTATACAGGGATGTGCATTCTGTTACATATAAGCGTATATATCGATTAACTGGTACTATATATAATATATAGTATCAGTTAATCAATAAATAACAAAGTTCCAAAAAATATGCAGTTTATTTGTAAATATAAACGCTGGATTAATTTACCGCAGTGTCTAACTATTCTGAATTAACATAAATTGAAACTGGTACTAGAACGAATGTAGTCTGTCTACTTTTTCCGCAAAAACGAACTATTTCCGTAAAATATTGACATAAATTATTTGTTTAAAAAGGCTTTTAAATAAAAAATTAAGCTGAGGAGCTAAAAATTGCTGAGTAAAGCAATAAACCTTACCTTCGTCTTCCTTCCCTCCAACACCGATGATGTAGGCGCTTCTCAAGAGGTGACCCATTTCGAAACTCGATAACAATGCTGAATTTGCGCAAAAATTTAAGTGTACAATGCGATTTAATTAAAATATATACATAGATACTATACGGCAAAGCGTGCTAACCACTATGCTAAAATTTAACTGAAAACTCAACGTTGGCTACAATTACATCTATAATACGAGGTTACATAGATTATGTGTACCGCACTAGTCGGCCGCTACGTATTCGGCTACATCTCGGCTACTATAATAAGTATCAATTTGCACTTCTATAATAGAAGAAAGCCCGCTAAATGTGCTTCGTATGGTTACCGCTCTGCAAATGATGTAAACCGAGCGCTTACCGAAATTATTAGTTACAGGTAGAATTAGGAAAGGTTAAGAGTAGCGCGATATCAATTATTATCATAATTTACGTACAAAATGCCTTTTAATACTATATAATATATGTAATAAGTATTGTTTATTACTAAAGATACACAGGGTTATTTTGCAATAACCGGCCAAATTTGCAGAGATGGTTCGTAGAAAGTAATATAAGCAAATGTTGAAGGAAAATTAATTTAAAAAAAATCTCAAACATTCTGTTCTTTTTAACTTTTAAATTCAAAATGCGTGATAATGCATTATTTTAACTAATTTTACTGCGCACGCACACATTCGTAAGGGATAAAGGTCGATCGGTAGGCAAAAACGTTATTGCCCATAAATCACATTCAATTTGGGATAATTTCAAATAAAAATAGTAGCCCTATTTACATGTATTTTAAAAACTGCAATAACGGAATATCATTATTTATATATTTCAAATTAAGTTTAAAATTTGGCTACTCTTAAAAAAATAACCCTGTATAAGCGCAGTACCACCGACTGCCTCATCACGAGATCTCTACAACTATATACCCGATTGACTTGAAATTTATGTATAGTTACTCATTGCGCAATGTAAACGCTCATAAAAAAATTTAAAAAATATTGATGTTTTATATCTTCGTTATTAACGTCTATTATCGTGCGCCCAGCGAAGCGAGCGGGTATCAGCCAGTAATATATTGTAGTGTTATGCTACTTACATATCATTTTACACTATTTTAAATTTATTTTTCCATTCTGTTTTTGATTTTCTGCATCCACCTCAAAACTGGATATTTTGCATCACCTTTATTTCCATAGGATCCTGTAACGTTTTTTAAACCATAAGAACACAATAACAAATCATTTTCACTTCGTATTTTCACGCTATCAGCACTTTTTAAATCGGTGTCGATGGAGCCTACCTTTTTCGATCTTTTATTTAGTTCTCCGTAACTCTGCAATTTCGGGCTTCGTGCGCGCTGTTGCGCTACCCTTTTTCCTATATCAATAATATCTCATTTTTCACTTAAATCTTGCCGTTTCTCTATTACGAGCCTGAAACCAAAATTTGACATGTTTTGACATCGTTGTTTATCTGGTTGTCATGGCAATTTTTATTCAAATTCGTTACCGGTCTGATGTTTTTACTTCAAAACTTCCACAAAAATACTCTTTTCTTCTTGGCCATTTACAAAAATTTGTTTTTAATTTCAATAATTCTTATCTCAGATCCGTCGTCGAGCGCGGAGCTCTCTAAAAAAAGTATAAAAGCCGAACAATCGGCCAATAAAGGAGTCTCGCTTCAGCTTTCATACTAGAAGCATCTCCTAAAGGCCTTATCCCGGGGCCGCACTGCCCCGGGATCCAGCAAGCCTCTGCCTTCATCTGAAGTCGTCGTCTAGCCACGCCTACGCCTCCACTTACTAGTGCCCGCGCTATCTTTAGCCGCTGTGCGTGCTTGCTTCAACCGCTGCGTGTGCCTACTCCGGGCGCTGCGTGTGCCTATTCCGGGCGCTATGTGTGCCTACTTCAAGCGCTGCGTGTACCTACTCCAGACGCTGCGTGTGCCTACTCCGGGCGCTGTGTGTGCCTAGTCCGGGCGCTGTGTGTGCCTACTTCAAGCGCTGCGTGTGCCTACTCCAGACGCTGCGTGTGCCTAGATCTGGCGCTGCGCACCTACCACAGGCATAGCATCACTCCGTGAGCGGTGAGCACCACTGCCAAGCGCGGTGTGCCACTTTGGTCTTCGGGCTCCGTTTCAGTACTCACTTATCTTTATTTTTTTTTAAATAATTGTAATTCACGTCACCCATCATCATCTTCATATTTTTTACATAAAACTGTAAATATCTTTTAAAATTTTAAATAAATTATTCGTTTTTGTTCTATTTTTGTTGTTTCGTTGTTGTTAGGTTAGGTTCTTTAGTTTTTAATTGTCGCTTTACGACAATATAAGAAAATTATTAAATATGAAACGGTGAAACGAAATATAACCAGGATTAATTACTTTTATTAAGAGTATACATAAAATACACGCTATATTATCAAACTTACTATTTCAACATATTATTTATGTACAACCACAGAAATCTAAATAATAAGGCAGTATTATTTAGATATCTGTGGTTACATCGTATATGAACGAATGAACTGAATGATATGTTCGTTCAGTCTACTTAAAAGTGATCGCAAAAATAATGTTATAATAAGCCAACTCGACACATTCGATAGTTCTAACGATGTTGTTGACTTAAACTTGGAAACAATGAAGTTATCGCGTACTCACAGTCGCGTAGTCCTATACAAACATAATTATTGTGTGCCTATTAAACAAAGACCTACTGTGGATGCGTTAGGCAATGTAGATGCAAATTAATACAGGATTATTAAAATTTGCGTTAGAAGTCAACATCACTTCACCAGTATAACGTGGCGGAAGTTTTAATACTGATTAACGTTCTGTTATTAACGTCATACATAGTCACGACATCTTATTATAAAAATAAAATTTATGAACATTATGTTTAACAAAGTGTAAGTAATGTACAGGAAGCACGTTTGGTTGAAATTGTAAAGGGAATATCTAAACTAGAGATAAACAAAATACTTGCAGGGCTCTCATCTAAGATTTCGGAGAAAACAAAATCTGAATTCATATATTTTAGTAACCCTATTTAGGCCACCTTTTAATTTTAACTTTTTCAAGTGGAAATTAATACCGATTACAAAAAGTCGTAGTATCTCAAAGACTAAAGAAAAAGTTACAGCCTATATACGTCTCACTACAGAGCACAGGCTTCCTCTCATTTCCAAGGGGGTTTTAGAGCAATAAAATGTCCACCGCGCTGCCCTAACCCAATACGTGTTGGCGGTAATTTCTCAGACATACAGATTCCCTCAAGATGTTTCCCTCACCGCCGAGCACGTGGCAACTCAGCACTTAGTATTACTAATTTCATTGATACCGGCGGGGATCAAACCCGGGTTGCTCGTATAATAAGTAATTTAGAGCGAGCGCTTAACTTCTGAGTTACCACGGCCAGTGAGACCTCCACCACGGCACGGGTCTATGCGCTCGTCTTGACCTGATGTGAAATTCACAAAATGGCAATGGATCATAGCGGCGGACAAATTGTTCCGTTACCCTTTCAGAAATGGATGCGTAATGGACATCTCATTGCAACACTAAGTGTTTATACATTATTATATAAAGTTCATAAAAGAACGTCAATAAACGACGTGTATATTATAATCACTGCGTTCATACCGCAAATGTCTCAAAGTAAGTACAAGCTTATGTTTGTTATTAGTTATTACTCTAAGGCTTAGAGTAATTACGTACATAGTACGTAAAAGCAAATGTCTAACACTGAATAGACTGTGGTCAAATAGTCGCACAGGGTAGAGTTTGTCAACAAGAATTTTTAAATGTTGGGAGCGAGTAAATCGGGCCACTTCCTTTTTTCATGTATAATGGTTAACATTTTTGGTAATATGGAATGTATCAATTTGAACCATATGGTAAATTATTAAATAATAACCTTATTGAGTGATAAATTATTGGCTCTGAAAGAGAAGTGGTAATTTTGATAAAAAAAATTGTAAGGTTATAACATTGCCAAAACTTAGTTTTTTGGTCTGTATATGAAAAAAATAACGGATTCCGGTCGAAATTCGAATGTAATTCGCAACAATTTATTTTATTTAACAAACACTAAATTTAAAAAACATTGGTTTTGGTCGACAGTTTTATTATTGATAGACGTTCTAAAATTTATACAAATTGCATAAAAAAATACTTATTGTAAAATGATATGGGTGGATAAATCGATATTTTACGCATTGAATCTGATAATAGGCGACAGTATGGGGGTGTAAAATACACATTGACTTATATATTACTAAAGTAAAATAAAGTTAAGTTACAGCCTATATACGTCCCACTGCTGGGCACAGGCCTCCTCTCATTTCTGAGAGGGTCTTAGGGCAAGGAATAGTCCGCCGCGCTGCCCCAATTCGTGTTGGCGAACTTCACATGTCTTTGAAATATATATTTTTTTCTTATTTCTCAGACATGCAGGTTTCCTCACGATGTTTTCCTTCACCGCCGATCACGTGGTAAATCAGCACTTAAAATTGCAATTAACAATTTCATTGGTGCCGGCGGGGATCGAACCCGGTTTGCTCGCGTACTGTGAAATTTACAGCGAGCGCTAACCATCTGAGCTACCACGGCTCTATATATTACTAGATCATTGAAAATACAGCTACTCGTATTGACTACAGACCGACAAATTGTTGAAACTCAACTGTGTCTAGTTTGATTAGTCTGCACTAAAATGTATTTTATAATGTATCCTCTCTAAAAATGTAAATCTTCGCACTAAATCAGAAGAAATTTCATTAGATATTAGCGATCCGCTCCGGTTTCGCAAAGGTGATTTCTGAATCTCGACAACAGCGCCACTTTCCGAGTCTAATAGTGAATCTAACCCTTCCAGAGACCCACTTAAACGAACTTAAAAAATTTCATCAAAAACGTTCGAGCCACTTTCGAGTTTTAGCGAAACTAACAGACAGCAATTGATTTTTATATATGCATAGAAATGAACATTGTTTTTCTTGTAAGGCTACAAATACAACAGGAAAAGAAATAAAATTTCCGG